TTTTTTTTTTTTTTTTTTTTGAGACAGTCTCACTCTGTGTCCTGGACTCCAGTGCCATAGCATCTTCCTGGCTCACACAACTTCAAACTTCTGGGCTCAATCAATCCTTCTGTCTCAGCCTCTAAGTAGCTGATAGATGCCCATACCACAACCAGTTAATTTTTCTATTTTTAGTAGAGCCACGGTCTTGTTCTTGCTCAGGCTAGTCTTAAACTCCTGAGCTCAAGCAATCTTCCTGCCTCAGCCTCCCAGAGGGCTAGGATTACAGGCTGGCTTGTAATCTTATGAAGTATTTAAAAGGAAAGTGTGGAGCAAATATTTTTATTACCTTCTTGCCAGTAAGTAGGAAAAAATGGTGAATACAATAGTAAGTTAACAGATAACCATAATATATGTAGTTGGGCGGGGTTTCTTTTTTTTTTTTTTAGTCACTGATTAGAATAGGCAAACACTTGACTCTTTGGCTTGTGCCAGTTTTTTAGTTTTGTTTTTTTTTCTGACTAGGGCTGGGTTTGAACCCACCACCTCCAGTATATAGGGCCAGTGTCCTACTCCTTTGAGCCACAGGTGCTGCCCTGTTTGTGCCAGTTATTAAGGCCTCTTTTAAGATTGATGTTACTGGGATGCCAGCCCCAAATACCAAGGTGGCAGGTTCAAACCTGGCCCCAGCCAAACTGCAAAATATAGCTGGGCATTGTGGCAGGCGCCTGTAGGCGCCTCAGGAGGCTGAGGCAAGAGAATTGCCTAAGCCCAAGAGCTGGAGGTTGCTGTGAGCTGTGATGCCACAGCACTCTACCTAGGGTGATAAAATGAGACCCTGTCTCTAAAAAAAAAAAAAAAAAAATTGATGTTGTTTTTTATTTTTTTTTTTTAATACTAAAAGGTTTTCTCCCCACTAGGCGTCTGTATTAATACGGTGTTGCTAATTAAGAGAATAAAGATACAATGTATCTGCATTTACTAAAAATAATTAACATTTGTATCCTTAACACCTGAAGATCACCAAACAGTTTCAAAACACTAAGTAGACTTTATTACACATGTGGAAGGTAATCAAGGGATCAAAAGACATGTAGATTGCCTTAGGGAGGTTTCACAGACTTCCTACTTTAGAGAGAGAAGAATCAGATGACATAATTACCTGAAATTTCAGAGAGCTCCATTAAACAGAATGAACTTACTGGAACTGAAATTTTCAGACCTGTATTATTAGTAGGAAGATTGCTTCCATGTATTTCGCCTTTCAAGTGCCACTTCAGCTACCAACACCCCGTTCCATACACCCATCTCTTCTCTGTCCTAAATTCTATTAGAGTCTGGAAATGCTCTAAGATCCAAAGGATAACATTACCTGTATATTCTATGAGAAAGGACAAACAGAAACACTTCTAATTTTATCCTTTTCACATACTGAAAAGGAGCCCAGAAAAGATGAAGTAATTCATTCTGTACAGTGAGGATTTCTAAGTCTCTAATGCCCAGCTTAGTAAACCAACTCACCCTTTGAAGATTCAGTTCAAGTCCTGCCTCCTCAGTATGTTTCCCAGACCTCACCAGTGTTTGCCCCTTCCTCTGAACTCCCTTAGAGATGGTTACAGGACATCTGGCATTCATCATTGCCTTAAATTCAATTTAAAATACATAGTCTAGGGAGGAGACCAGACCTGCTTACAAGAAACCATTTGGAACTTAAGCCTTGGTGGCATTATGAAATTGCCCTGAGAATACAGCAGAGGAAGAAACTAATTCTGCCTGGGAGAAGGTTTGGAAAACCCTCCCAGAAAAGGTGATATCTGAACTGATCTTTAAAAGAAGATTTCACCTGGTTACAAAATGCCTGGAGGAGAGATGGAAAAAAAACAGGGCATTCCACTCAGAGGGCAGAAGCCAGAGCAGAAGTCAAGGCACACAAAAATGAGAGGATGAAGTGACAACAGAGGACGATGGAAAGATGCATTGGGGCCAGATGGTAAATGTGATAGTTTTCATTTTTAAAAAAACTCTTCACCTAGATTCTGAATTTAAGTGCCAGGACCAAGCCCATCCCTGACACATGCTCCATTCGTATATCCCTCAAATAGACACCGACAAAGTATTTGTTGATAGACCTGAATCCCTGTGTCATCTCTGTGATGTGTCTTTGGGAGGGCTGGGAGTTGGTCTGGGACATAACTGGGGCCCAATACTGGCTCTTCACTAACGTCAGTTTCCTCATCTGTAAAATGGAGCTGCCTACTTCCTCCTCACCCCCGCCCCGCGAAGGACTGAGTTTAACAGAGGCTGGCACACAACAGGCTTTTCCACAAATGGTAACTATAATTAAAGGGCTACAGGATGCGGCCAGAAACCACTGAAATGCTTACAGTGCGCTGGTTCATTCAACAATCACCAACCCCTACTATGCCTAAAAGAGGAACCGAGGGCTGGAGGATGCTTCACCTGCCGTGAAGACGGCCACCCGCCGGGGCCGCACGTGGGCCTGAGCTGGACACAAGGGCTCCTCAGCAGACAGGATCTTTCACCAAAAACAAAAAAAAAGGGGGAGAGGGGTCTGTCCACAGGCGCCGGAGTCACCTCCCCGGCTCTCCTTGTAAACAACTGTTTGACCCGGTGAGGGAGTGGCGGGGCCGGGAGCCAGCGATGGAAGCGGGGCGCGCCCGCCCGGCGGCCTCGAGGGGAGGTCTCCACCCGCCCGCGGTCCCTGCCGCCTCCTTGCCTCCACCAGACATCACCCGGTCGCGACGCGACCCGACTCGACCCGACGACAAAAGCCAGTCATTCCGGCCTCGCGCCTCCCGTGCGGGCCGCGCCGGCCTCTGCTCACCTGCGGCGGAGTCGGTGTCCTCCCTCCTGCCGCGCCCACCGTGAGTCAGGCGGCGGCCGGCACCGCGGCCAGGGCGGGAGCGATGCGCTGCCGGCAGGGGCGGTTCAGCCTCTGCCCCTCGGAGGCCGCATCCCTCGCCGCGCTGCGGGCGGTCCTAGCAGCCCGACTCTTAGTGGGCAGCGGCCAAAGTGGCCGCTGCTCAGCGACGCCGAGGAGGAGGTTGCTCCTAGCCGCGAGGCGTCAGCCCAACACAGGACGGCGCCATGTTTTCGTACGGAAAAGCGGGTGGCTTTCTCCTGCTTGCCAAGAAGGCTCAGAAGGGGTGGCTCGGGCAGAAGTCCGCGGTGCCGTATCTCTGTAGAAAAAGGCGGAAGGCGCGGCTGGGTGGTAGTCAAGAGGGTTCAGTGGGCAGTGGCTCGAGGCTGGGAGGCGCCCGCCCCACACAGGGAGCCGCCATGTTTCCATACGGAAGGGCGGAGGCTCGGCCACGTGCGGCTGATGGGGTGGGCGCGAGCGGAAAGGTAGGCGCGGACCGCACCGATTCAGCGCGGGAGCAGGAGCTGAAACAAGTTTCCTCTCTGGAGTAACCGCATTCGCAACCTTCTCCGGCACTGAAATGGATAGTCCCATCATCGTCGCAGCTACACAAAGTGTATTCCCCTTCTCTCATTTTGGCTATTAAAAAAAAAAAAAGCCATGCCCACCACGTAGACAGCCAGTTCTCAATGGCACAGATTTTGTTTTTGAGAGTTTTCTGTGTAAGTGGCTGCTGCAAGTTGTCTGTGAGAAAAGCCAGACTTCAGCTCTGAAAAGACCGAAGACCGGACGGTGGTTTCCTTGGGGGCTCAGCTTGGTGTAGGTCTGAGAGCATTTTATTAGTCTGTTCCAGAAAGGAAGAACATTTTCCTGGTGTTTCAAGTTAAGACAAGCCTATTTTGGAGCCTCTTCCGTTCCCAGGTAGTGATGGCCATGACTACGGCGGCACTGGACGACTACTTGATGCTCCAGGAAAACCATACTTTTCTCAGCCGGCAGCAGTAAAATAGCAAACCACACGCATAGAAAGTTTGTTTTGTGCTCGATCTTAAAAAATAGTACGTAAAAGGCGTATGACTCTTAACTGTTCATTTCATGCCTTAAAGAAAATGAATGATGTCGCGTACTTGTAGCCTATAGAACTTGTTTAATTCAAACAACTGAAACAAAGCAGATAGGGTGGAATTAGTAGCTTTCAAACATTACTTTTTTTTGAGACAGCGCCTCAAGCTGTCCCCCTGGGTAGAGTGCTGTACCATCACAGCTCACAGTAAACCTCCAAATCCTGGGCTCAAGCGAGTCTCCTGCCTCCACCTCCCAAGTAGCTGGGACCACAGGCGCCCGCCAGTCAACACCTGGCTATTTTTTGGTTGCAGCTGTCATTGTTTGGTGGCCCGGGCTGGATTCGAACCCGCCACCTTAGGTGTATGTGGCTGGCGCCTTAGCCACTTGAGAACAGGCGCCGAGCCTCAAACATTACTTTTTAATAGAGTACACGTAGGTAGTTATTCCTAAAGTATTGAAGGCAGAGTGCAGGACCCTGAAACCATTTACTAACTAGTATATCAAAGTGAGTATTCTTGTTTTAGAACAACAGAAATTCTCCATGAAGATTCACTTTGGGAGAAAAAAACGACACAACCCAAAACCCTTAAGATGCTCAACTAAGGAATTGTTAAGATTCACAAAGAAAACATTTACTTCTCAGTTGAGTCCAGGCTAATAATGTACCATAAAGTCTCCAGACAGGTGTTTCTCATTCCTCAGTATACCTTAGGAACTTGGGGTAGGGGTTCTAAAACAGACAAACTGGAGGTGATGCCAGGCAAAAAGCTTATGAGAGCTTCCCAGGTATTCTTAATGTGCAAGGGGGCCAGAACCACTTTTACTGCCTTCCTTGGCAGTGAGATGCAAGAGAATGAATATGTGGGTTATTATGGAAGTTTTGAGATACACAAAAATCAAGAAATGTCGAATCTGCACAGACGGAAATAAATGAAGCCCCATAAGCTGAGCAAGCTGACACTTGAATGGGTGACTCAGAAAGGACGCTGCCAACTATGTGTTTCTTGGAAGTGAAATAATGGACCATGACACAGTCTGTCTCAAAACTTTCATAATAGCCCGGTGCAGTGACTCACACCACTAATCATAGCACCATGAGAGGCTGAGGCAGGTGGACTTACTGAGCTCAGGAGTTCAATACCAGCCTGAGCAAAAGCTAAACTCTGTCTCTACTAAAAATAGAAAACCTAGCCAGACATTGTGGTGGGCTCCTATAGTCTTAGATATTTGGGAGGCTGAGGCAAGAGGATTGTTAGAACCTAGGAGTTTGAGGTTGCTGTGAGCTATGATGGCAGGGTACTCTACCCAGGGCGATGGAATGAGACTGTCTCAACAAAACAAAAACAAAAAAATTTCATAGTGGCCCACATAAAACCAAGTTTCACTTGGAGAAAGCACTCAGATTTAATTTGGGATGGTTTACCTATAATCTCTTTATGTACTGTTCACACATGAACTTTCTGGCCACCCACCCCTGTATTTTATACTGTTTCCTTAAAAAAATTTTTTTTTCAGACAGAGTCTTACTTTTGTTGCCCTCCATAGAGTGCTATGGCATCACAATTTACAGCAACCTCAAACTCTTGGGCTCAAGTGATTTTCTTGCCTCAGCCTCCTCAATAGCTGGGACTACAAGCACCCACCACAATGCCTGGCTATTTTAGGAGATGGGGTCTTGCGCTGGCTCAGGCAATCGTTTCCACTTTGGCCTCCCAAGTGCTGAGATTACAGGCTTGAGCCACTGTGCCCAACCATCCCCCCCACCCCCATTTTCTTTCTTTCTTTCTTTCTTTTTTTTTTTTTTTTTTTTTGCAGTTTTTGTTTGGGGCTGGGTTTGAACCCACCACCTCCAG